AAAATCAGCTGTTCCCCGATAAAGTCTTTCCTCTGCTCCCACCTTCTGTAAGCATGTTTTCAGTAATGGATTGTCCATCATTGGAAGACTGATTGTAAAGTTGAACTCTAGGACAAGCAAATATTGCCTAACCACTTGCCCTCCAGAGGATTTACCCCCTTCCTGACCAAGCCATTTTTTGCAATACGGTGCTGCGTTAATTTAACTGACAATTGCGTGGTCATGCACCCAAATGAAATTTACGTCCTTTTTTCCCACAAATATAGCTTTCTTTCGGTGGTATTTGAATAGCAGCGATCGGTGACTTAAAGCAGGACTGCGGCGGGCATTCTGACACTGGGGGGAACTGACTTGGTGTCACTGACATCCCCAGTGACACCAATACAGTGATCAGTGCTAATAAAAAGCACTGACACTGTACTAATGGCACAAGGCAGGAGGGGGTTAACATGTGGATCAAAGGGTTAACTGTGTGCTGTTTTAGTATGTGGGCTGTGTGTGTGCTTTACTGTATGCAGAGCCATACAAAGCAGTGTGCAAGAGCTGACGGGAGAGATCTGTATTGTTTACATACAGGTTTCTCCCCCGTCGGTAATACTCATAGATCGCTGGGTGCTGGTGGGGAATCACTAGCCAAGACCCAATGATTGACAGCTGAGGCCGTGATTTTGCCCATAGTATTTCTGCTATAGAAGCAGCTAATTACAGGAGGCATTAGCTGAATTTTGTGTGGTTTGTGTATTTTTTTCAGAGGTGTTCAGTAATCTTGCATGGAAATGTGTCTCTGTGCAGAGGCTTCCTGTAATAAAGACTTGGCAGTGCTTCCGTCTCTTCTTGAGCAGGGTGATTGGTCTTGTCTCCGCCCTCTCCTGTGGTTTTCTGCAGACAGCCTGTAGTGGGTGGGTTTTCTGGGTCCCTCTCTGCACAGGCTACATGTACAGCACAAGGCGTGCCACTGCTACTTCCACAAGGTAATATATAGACTTACAAAGACATTTGGTGCTCACAAAGTGGATTTATATAATTTGTGGCTATTGATGAATATATTTAAATAAAGGTTTTTGATGCCTGGAGTTCAGCTTTAGGATAGATCTGAGTATTTATGATAATTGTAGATAAAAACACATTTTCTAATTAATTGTTTTTGATATCTGCCTATAGTGTTTAAATGTGTACCCTCCTGGGTTTATGGTCAGCACTGATTGATATAAACAGCCAAATAGCACTTTACTAAAACTTCATTTTGGTTTGGAAATATAAGAGATTTTTTTTTCACCTGACACCCACACTGATCCTAAACCCCCTCAGTATTCCAACGATGGATATTTCTCACTTAATTAGTTCTGCTTGCTTGTCTGATTCAGGTTAATGTTGCATATCGAAACACTGCTTTGCAGAATGACTCAGGTGTTGAACTGCTGACCATGTAATGAATTCCAGCCAGCTCCTTTTTTGTAAGCCGAGGTACGCGACTCCCCAAAACTTTTTTCCATGTAAAGTATGGAACATAGATGTGATTGATTGGAGTAGATTATTTAACATCTACTAGATTTTTTTTTTTTTTTTTTTAAATTAAGTACAAAAAAAAGTTTTAATAGCACCAGAGAGTGTCCCAGTAGTCATGGTGTAGCAGATTTGTCCAGTTATACGTCTTCCAGAGTGACAAGCAGCAAGGAGGACTGCAGTGAAAATTGTGGGTTTGTATAGAGAGCATTATGGGATGATCTGGGGCTCTGCGGATTATGTATAGGCTGGAGTCTTAATAGATGAGTGACAGCTCTGAAAGTTTGGGGATTCAGTAGTGCGAATGTTGATTGTCAGTGCTGTCAATCAGTGTCGGGCTCACAGTATTTCATCTCAGATCACATCATCAATCAACTCTGTTGCGCCAGAGTCCATCTACTGAAACTTGCCCTTTACCATTCCAGGAGTTGTGCACAATTGTTAGGCTGAGAATTATTTCATCAAATAGTACAAAGGGCAGGGGTAAACTATTAGTTATGCATAGCAGCCACCCAGAGAGAACTGTTTTACGTTCATCATTAATCATCACTAATCAGATTAGTGAATACTGATTTTGGATTGTTTGCTATTTGTATGTACTTTCCCATTGCGCTTTAAACTGTCTGTCATGTAGACATCAGATGTGTATAAAAAGATAATTACACACCCCCTTTAACTGCATTCAGGATAAAGACTTTTCTATGTCAAGTTACCTTGTTATACCTTTGCATATCTTGAAGAAAAGTCTGCACTGAGTTTAATACGTAGGCTACCATTGCTGACTCGTTCCTGAAAATGCTGTTTGCTTGGCTGTGTTTGCATTCAATATTTTAAAGAAGAAGTCCAGGTATGGATATTTTATACATAGTTACATGGGTCCAGTTTGGACCGATGTAACTGTGTATATAGTATACCATGTCTGGCTGATGCCCCTGGGAGCTGGAAATCACTGAATTAGATGCTGCTACTCCAGTGATCTCCACTTGCTTCTGGATCCTGCACCAATTGTCTGCCCTGCTGCAGTCTGAACACATCAGGTCAGCCGTTTGGTGTGGGCAATCGCTGCAGTAGCAGTGTCTACGAGCTCCACGCTCTTGTTGAACTGGCCAGATTTTGGTGCATAGATACTGAACATGTTTCCTATGATCTCCAGCTCCATCCAGTGGCTATAATATAGTATTTTCCTAATTTGCTCTATTGCAGGGTTTATCAACTAGGGTTCCTCCAGAGGTTGCTGGGGGTTTCTTGAGCAATTTCTGCCTCTCTGATAAATTTGGACTGATACCATTGATCTTTTTAGCTATCTGTAAGGGGGTAATTCCTCCCAATGATGAAAAATGTAAGGAGCATTATTCCTACTAACCATTACACTATTGCATATTTTCTAAACCAGGGTTCCATGGAACCCTAGGTTTCATGGAGCAATGAGCAATTTCTACCTCTCAGATAAGTTTCCACTGACACCATTGATGTTTTTAGTTATGTGTAAGAGAGTAATTCTGCCCAATGACCACCAGTGTAAGGACCATTCTTCCCACTGACCATCACCCTAATGTATCATGAGTTGTAGATACGGTAATTTTTATCAGGGGTTCCCTGATATTGGAAAGTAATTTCAAGGGTTCCTCCATGTTGAAAAGGTCGAGAGACTGTATGAAGAATATAATTTGACCTGGGGAGAAAATAGCCTAGTATTTTTTGTCCCATTCACATCAACTGTACATGCAGCTTCACAGGGTAAATAGCTAAGGAAATAGTTTAGATCTTCTTTATTGGTTGGTTGGTATAAGCAGCAAGATTTGTCAGGAACCAGGATCCCAGTGCAACTGCATATTTTTCAGTAAATTCAGTAAAGGCTCTTCACACTTAGAGCTCATGTACACTGCAGCTGATAAACTCATGTTTAGGAGCTGTTACGCTTTTTTTCAGCAGCCCCTGAACTCACCCTAATGTTTTCCTATGTGTCCATGTACACATCTTCGTTTACAGTCGTTTACAGACATTTGAGTTTACAGTCTTTTTTTGAACGCAGAAAACATGCGTTCAGCAGTCGATTTTATCAGCGTTTCAAACGCAAAACTCTTGGAAACGCGGCTAATTGCCAGGGTACTCAGATGGACAAAACACTGAAAACAGGATGTTCTTACCAAGCTTGTCACACATTGTAATGACCAATTCACACCTCAGACCTCTCCCACCCTTGGAAACAAAAGATATGTTAATGACCATTCACACCTCAAATTCCACGTGATTACCCCCTGCCAGATGGCCTTAATGACTCACTCCACCAGACACCTTTCCCACCCTTGGAAACAAAAGAAATGTTAATGAGCAACTCACACCTAAGCTAATTTTAACACATACTGCTGTCTCTGCTTCTACTCTCTGTATTTCTCTAAAACAAGTCTGAAATAGTTAATAATTTACAACTTTTCAGTGCATTCGGTGCATTTGGGAGGTTCTCCTGTGATTATCTTGAAAAAACGCTTCTAAACGCAAACGCACATAAACACGCATAAACGCGTTATGCAAACACGACTAAACAGACGGTTTTTAACCCACATTTTCCAGCAGTCAGTTTCCATCGTTCAGAAGTGTCCTGAGTACATGGGACCTGAGTGATTTGAAATCTTGGGCAGAATTGCTGCAATTCTACGCGATTCCAAATCATTTGGCAATTGCAGTACAATGTGCGGCATGCACTTTGGTACCATTATCTTTTAATAGCACCCCAAATGCAATGTAATTCTGCCGTGAAACAGGAGCGCACAGCAATTGCCAAACCACTCTGAAAATCGCGTGAAGCTTATGACCTGAAAAGGAGCAGGAGGTTCTTTTTGGGCAGCAAGCATGCATAGGGCAGCCCATTCAAGTGAATGGCCTGCCCTATGTAAAATGCAGAATCAAGTAAAAATCAAGCTGTCAAAATCACATAGCGGGAACACTTGTTCCTACTACGCAATAATGTGAACAGGGCCTGGCAGTTAGAAAACAGAATAAAAATGCTGCATCCTAAAGCTCATTGGTTGTGGAGGGTGCAACTTACTATTGTTCTTTGCACACCCTTTGGAATAAGCTCTTTAGTGTAATTCTATCTATTGTGGACATGTTCTGTGAAAATGTTATCACTGAATATAAACAGGACAAATACATGGTTATACTTTAGCTAAATTACATGGAGCTCTATATATAAATGTGTAATCATACAGGTAAGTTATGTTGTCTACCTATTGTAATGAGTGCAGTTTACACTTTGCTCTCCTGAGTGCTTTAGCTGTTTCCCCTTACCTAATCACCGGTGATAGCTATTTCTTGGTCTGGCCAGGAGATCATTTATGTCACACTTTAATTCATGTAAATTTATGCTGATATAATTGGGCATATTCAGGCATAAAATGACTTTTTAATAATTGTCTTGCAGCCAAAAGATTGCCTCCAAATAGCAGAAGGGACACTCAGCATCATCTAGTCACAGCAGAGCCACCGTCACCTCTACAATGAAGTATTACTGTTTTGCACTTCTTTTCATGATTCTGAATATGGAGCTTCTAGCAAGCTACGGCTCAACACTGAAAGCGGGAAGAATTCGAGGACGTATGCCAGTGGACAGGAGGAATATCAGACCGAATATTATTCTGGTTCTGACCGATGACCAGGATGTAGAGTTAGGTGAGGACTTTTATACGCCTTATCTTGGCAACTCTGTAAACATTTACATTGCTGTTTGTGTTGTGATCAAAGAAGTTCAAGGTACATTGTAATTACTATTGTTGTGTACTGGATTTCAGTACTACATTTGACTTGCTGTATTATTTATACACGATTCTCATAAAATGTAACTACAGACATATTTCTTTAGAACAAGAGTAAAGCTGGCCATACACTAATTGAAATTCATCAGGTTCAGCAGGGGCTGGCCTGAATTTTGATCAGTGTGTGGCTGTCCCCACTCTACAGAAGAAGACATTACAGCAAACTGGGGGGGGGGGGGGGACCTGGGGGCTTTTGGTATGGCTATTCTTTACATGGCTTGTAGAATTGAAAACATAATAGTTTACTGTTTATGTTACTTTGTGACCTGGATATATCAAGATAATTATTTATGAAAAGCTCCCCCAATATATAATCAATACTACCACTACAATGCGTGGTACGACAACATGTGGTTTGCTTTTTTTGTAGGGTTAGTTTTTTAACTGTACTTGCCCTGTACCCCATTTTAGTGGGCATATTAATATGACTGAACTGCCTTATATTGGTGTTTCAGTCACTTTTTAAAAAAATTTAAAGTCAGCAGCTACAAAAACTGTGGCTGCTGACTTTTAGTAAATACACAAACACCTGTCCAAGGATCCAGCGCTATCCTCTCCAAACCAGTTTCTTCACAAGTATTCAGGTCACTGGCGCCATCATGCTAATTGTGGGCACCCGGCTATGACTCCCTGCAGCTTTGCAGCCGGCTGCCCACTGTGCATGACCCAGCCATGCTGAGGCTTTGTGAATGGTCCCACAGTCTTCTGAGACCTGTGACATATTTCAGAAGGTTGCAGGCAAAGAGTGGGGGAAGAGAACTACCAGATTGCCTAGGTGATCCAAGCAGATAGTGGGAGTGGGTACAAGATCACTCCCCCAAAAAAAAAACATTTTCCCAAATATGGCGGGGGAAGAGCAGAATTTCCCCATTTGGGTGAAGTTCTGCTGTAAGGTTAAAGGAGTTCTAAAGTCTAATTTTTTTTTATTAACCTTCATGCATTCTCTGCATTAGGGAATAAAACTTCCCACTACCTGGCTTTTCCTCATTTCTAAACACTTACCTCACTCCTCTTGCCACTCTAGCACTGTCTGGCTGCAGCACCGCTCCTCCATTTCCTGGTCTCGCAGGAGACATTGAGGGCAGCAGGAACCATAGGCTCCTGCTGCTGTAATTCAAGCTCCTATGAGGAGGGTGTGGGGTCATGGTTTACTGATGCTGTGTGACGTACAGAGCCCAGCTTGGGATTGCGCATGCACGGATGCCCCCAGAGCATATAGCTTGCTAAGGATTCCCCAAAGGAAGAAGGAGCAGACAGTGCCAGTGGGGGACTGCTCTGTGCAATATTGTTCCACAGAACAGATAAGTATAAAATTCTTTTTTTAGAAATACCCTTTAATATCACTTTTTAAAGCGTTTTAGAGGGTTTTAAAGTGCTCCATAAACTTGCATGCTTGGTTCTGCCAATCACACAAGTTTATCTCAATGGAAAGAGAGGGGGAAGAAGCAGGAAGGAGTACTTTGCCACCACAGACTTTTATCTGTTACTTCATGTATCACAGCTGAGTGCAGTTTTGATTTAGGGTGGAGTTTGAAGGGCTAAGGGAACCAACACTCATTGTTCAAAGGGCTATATTTTGTGCTCCCGGAATATCCTTGTTTGAAGTTAGAATTGTGTCACGCTACATATGTCCTTGATGCTGGTATGGCACATAAATGGTTTATACATTAGCAAAGATTTTTATTTATTTCAGGTTCGTTGCAGGTGATGAACAAGACCAGGAAAATAATGGAGGAAGGAGGTGCAAATTTTATAAATGCCTTTGTGACCACTCCCATGTGTTGTCCCTCACGCTCATCTATGCTGACTGGGAAATATGTCCACAACCACAATATTTATACCAACAATGAGAACTGTTCCTCTCCATCTTGGCAAGCTATACATGAACCTCGTACATTTGCAGTGTACCTCAATAATACAGGATACAGGACAGGTAAAAGCATTTGGTATGGCTATTCTTTACATGGCTTGTAGAATTGAAAACATAATAGTTTACTGTTTATGTTACTTTGTGACCTGGATATATCAAGATAATTATTTACCAATTTTGTAGCAAAGCAGATGGGGCAGGGTTATTTATCAGCTCCTTATTTATACAATTAAAGCTGGCTATACACTACTAGAATTTTTCATTTTAAGAACATTCAATTTTCAAATTAGTGGGGTCAAATTGATGTTTGTTTTTGACCACAGTAATGGAAAAATTCAAAGGAACAGGATGGAACATTTCTCATGAACAAATTAATTTCCAGCTATTTATGTGGTTTTTTGTTTGGGAAATGGCTCTAAAACTGAATGTTAAAAGCAAACAATTTTGTAGTACTATCAAACATTTTTCCAGTCATTGGATGTACAAACAATTTTCGTACAAATGTTCATTTGAAAATCTAGTGTATAGCCAGCTTTACTTTTGTACTTTAAAAAACTTGTCCACCATGAACAATATACATAGTATTTTAAGGGTTTTATCTGCCCAGATGTAAATTACATTGTCTCTTAAAACAGGTGCACGCCACAGTTGACAGTAGTGATTCTGATGATTTTGTCTTCTGCTTAGCTGCTTGTTAACTGAGAGAGTCAGGCAAAAAATACTAAGCCCCCATTCACACCTGTATATTTTACTATGCGATTTCTAAAACTGAAGGTGAAAATCCCAATATTGTCAATGGGCCCATTCACACCTGAGTGTTGTGTCTCCTGTCCTGACCCATAGGCCTTAATAGGAGCATACACATTTTTCAAACACTTCCATTTAAACATTTATAGGGCCAAAAGCACACAACTATGCTCCTGTACTACACATTACACATTCAAATGCCAAAAAAAGGCTATAAATTGCCTGGCTACACTCACGCCAAATGTCAATGGAGGGATAAAATAGAAGGTACTTCTCTAAGCTTCCTCAGAGGAACAGTTATCAAGAGGTGATCTGCTTTCATATAAACTCATAATGGATGTATTCCTAGAGGATTTAAGGGTAAAGAAATGCAAATAGTCATTATGTAACTGCAGCCAACCGTACACACCAGTTTAACAGTTTAATTATTTTCAGTGGGAAATCACCAGTGGGAGACGGAAAAATGAAGACTGAAAAATACATCTTAAAGTATATGTGAACCTTCACTTTATATAACCCTTTCTGTTTATAATAGAACTGAAAGGCAAAACGTTTGTGTATAGATACAGTGTATAAAAAAACTGACCATACTGAGATGGATGTGCTCCCCTTCCTAGTGTGGTCAGTTTGTAATAGGAAAGAAGGTGGAATGGCAAGATCACTAGGTATTTCACACAAAGGAAGCAGTACAAAGAGCACAGTATACTTTTTGTTTTTTTGTAAAACTTTTATTTTCACTTTTCACATGAGCAAAAGAAAACACAAATAACAAACAAGGCAGAAATAAAAGGAGAAACAATATATATACATCTGCCCATTGTTTACAAAAAATTACAAACAAGGTAAGGGATAATCATCATCAAAGGTACAGGTCGCCATAAACAAGTGATCCCATACATTATATACACATCTTATGCAGGATACTTTTGACATGGTACAACAGATGCATAAAAGGAATATATTAAATATTTGGTTAATATATTCTTTAACCATTTGCCTACCGGGCACTTATATCCCCTTTGTGCCTAGTCCAATTTTCATCTTTCAGCGCTGTCACACTTTGAATGACAATTGCGCAGTCATGCAGCATTGTACCCATATGACATTTTTATATTTTTTTCACCCACATAGAGCTTTCTTTTGGTGGTATTTAATCGCCGCTGGGTGTTTTATTTTTTGCACTATAAACAAAAAAAGAGCAAGAAATTTGAAAAAACAAAATAAAGTTTTTCTTTGTTTCTACTATAAAATTTTGCAAACAGGTAATTTTTCTCCTTCACTGATGAAGCTGCACTGATAGGCAGCACTGATGGGCACTGATGAGGTGACACAGATAGACAGCACTGATGGGCACTGATAGGCTGCCCTGGTGAGGCGGCACTAGTGGGCACTGATGATGCTGCACTGATATGCAGCAGTGATGGTCACTGATAGGCAATACTGATGGGCGGCACTGATATGCAGCAGTGATGGTCACTGATAGGCAACACTGATGGGTGGCACTGACTAACAGTTTTGACTGGCAGCACTGACTGCTCTGCACTGATAAACACTACTGGGAACTGATTGGCGCAACTGCTGGACAGCACTGATGGGTGGTAATGCTGGGGGGCACTGGTGGGCACTGATGGGTGGCACTGCTGGGCACTGTTGGGAGGCTCTGCTGGACACTGCTGGGAGGCACTGGTGGGTGGCACTGCAGGTCACTGATCATCAGGGCCCTGATGATCAGTGCAGATCTGCCCTGTGACAGCTGCCGGTTATCGGCAGTACTTTCCCCACACGCTGTGACAGTGTGAGGAAATAGCTGTCGATAACCGGCAGCTGCTGTATTTACTCCGTGATCTGCTGTGTCATTGGGCACAGCTGATCATGTGGTAAAAGGCCGCTGTGATTGGCTTTTTACCTCATCACATGATATGCTGTGTCCACAGGGGGGTGCGTGGGAGGGCGCGTTCTGGGAGGACATTATATATGACGCCCTCCCAGAACTGGGTAAATGCACTGTAGCCATCATTTGGCTATAGCGCGGTGTGGGAACTCACTTCAAGTGGTAGAGCTTCTTCAAAGCACACGGCAACTCGCTTATTTATTTTTTAAGGCCTGTTTGCCCACTTTTTATTTAAATGACAGTTCAATAACATAAAGGTTTCCCACGCAGGGGGTATCCACCATCAAACAAAACAATATTCAGCCTCCTGGCTTGTACGCAGTTTTAAGTCTGCCTCCTGCAGACTCTTCCCAAAGTATGGCACTAGCACACAGCTAGTCTGGCTTCCACCTCTCCTAGGTGTAGCCCACCTGACTCCACGGCAGAGACCTCCCGTCTGCCTGGGTGGCGCCCTCCTAACTGCCGGGGTGGAGCTCAGACTCATGGCCTGGCCTCCACAAAAAGGCCTGCACACACCTGTGCAATCAGCACACTGGCTGCTCCCAAAATATGGGCCCAGGATTGGAGATTTCATCCCTCCCAAATCTCTAAGAAATCTCCAGGCTACAGGTCCCAAAACAGGCTTTACCAACCAAAGAGGAAACTGATAAACCAGTTTCCTCTGCATTAGGAGATCTGCCTGGAGCCCCTCAACCTCTATGTTTGAGAATCCTGGGTCTCCATCGTGCTTTCCACCGTGGCAGGATACCGCACTGCCGCATATCCCCCCCCTTTGTTTTGATCCCGTAGGGGGCAGAACACACAAGCCCAAACTCTTTACTTTGGCACCTCTGTGCCAGCTTTCACCTATATGAGCCCATTCCTGACTGACATCACTTTCAAAGGGAAACTTTCCTTCCTGTCTTACGAGGCAACTTTCCCTGTGTTCTCCTACTACATGGACTTGGGCTCTAAAAAGATACTGAGTCTTTTTACGGGTTCGCTTCCAAAAGCGTTGCCTCTCTATTTTCCTTGGGGCCACCCAAGTCACCTTCCCATTAAGGACCTTCCAAAACTTAGGACCTGGCTGAGGTTGACGCCTGAGCTTTAGGTGCCTGATAACATTGCAGCTACACTGCACTCTCAACCGCCGGTTTCCCTTTACCTTTGAAGGGGTCACGCTTTTACACACAAAAAGTGCGGGCTCTTTTATTGGGGTTACCTTAGACCCTCTCTGCATTCTATGTACAGGCATCTTCTTGCTGACAAAACCTAGCTCGGTTGGTTTCCCCCCGTACACTGCATGCTTCCTTGGGTCACTGACAGTCTCAGATGACAGCAATGTCCTACTATCCTTCTGAAGGACAGACCGATTGTCTTGCTCTTCAGATGTTTTTATGTCAGGGGACCTCTTTAAATTATCCACTTCCTTAAAGTTTTCCCTCTGGGCAGATAAGCTATTTAAAGTTTCCCTTCCCAGACTACCCTCCTGAACCTGTAGGGGGCCTAATTCAACTGCAGCTTTTTCCTCAGCTGTGTCTACCACATCATTATATTTACAATGTACCAGTGCATGCATCGCACTTTTCCTCATCATCATTTACACGGGTCTTGCATTTTTCCTCCTGGCCAGAAACATCCACACCTTTGTCAGAATTAATTTCAAAGTTTGGCAGGGCAGTGTCTGGAGACCAAGTGCACAGCGTGGAGTGGTTGTCTCCCATGGCAACGTCGCTATCCACCAGCTCCACTGGCACATGTACGTCTTCCAGCAACTGTCCTGACACCTGACGGTCATCATAACACAATTCCACATTTGGTTTACTGACCCCAATCACTTGACGTGTGTGCCATCTGACACTTCCACCAACACTGGCTCATTTGGGATCACACTATTCATTCCCACACCATTGGATCCTTTGTGGTTTGTGGGCACGATCTCTGCCATGTGCTCAATCTCACTTGGCCCGTCCATATTGGGAGGGAGACCATCTGCAGCAACAGCAAGTGTGCCCTTGTCTATGAGCTGCTCTGCAGGCCCTCCATTTAGCACAGCAGAAGTCATGTCCACTCCACTGTTGGAAACAGAGGTCCCTTTCAACAAAGCCAACAGGTTTTCAGCCCATCTGTCCCAGTCTACTTTCTCTGCGCTCCAATCAGAGGTACTACGCAGTACCGCACCAACTGCCGGAGGAGACACAGGACAGAGTGGCTCAGCAGACACATCACATATATCACTTTTGTTCAAACCAAAACTGTGGCACTAAATTTTTAACCTCAACAGGTTGCAATACCACACCCTCACCACCGTACTCTGATGGCGCTTCATTCACCTCAGGAACACTTCCATACATATTGTCAGTACTGACAGACTCAGTTAGCCCATTATCACCATGAGCATTTTCAAAGATTTCAGTTTTAGCATTTAAATCATCATTTGTGTCAAGTACTCTCTTGTCCAGACAGCAGCAACATAGTTGTCCCAGGCAACCTCTGGCTCCAACACACAGAGCTCCCAGGAAGTTTCCATGGACACCTTTGCAGCCTTGGATACTGTTGCCAAGGGCAACAACATATCTTCAATCATATTCACATCAACACTGTTATCCTTAGTGAGCTGTGCTAGCCCATCACCAACCATAACCTTACATTTACCAACAGTAACACTTTTTGTTGGCATGACCATCAGCATTCTCATATACCTATAGACATGACTGACTGCAGCTCCATAGCTGACCTGGGAAATCCTCTGCTCCGTCACTGCGGGCTCCTGGGAGGTTTCCCTGGTCATCTCTGAGCTGCAGCACCTATCACTAGGAGGGAACACGGTGCCATGGCAGTTTTGGTCACCCCTAGGTTACCATCCCAGCCTTCTGCTGGATTATATAGCAGGCACCTGCAGGAGTCCCCATGTCCTTTTCCATATTTAGTCCTGCTAATCGTTGGGCTGTTCCCTGTGCCTCCCCACTACTCAGGGTAGCACACAGCAGCCAGTCCATGTCCATCTGTATTGTGGAACTCCCTGAAGGACACACTCTCACTTCCTTGGACTCAGTCCACACAAACAGTCTTACCATATTCTCCTGAAGCAGGTGTCATAGATAGCCTTCACTTGAGTGCGTAGTCTCTCTACCCTCTGCTTGGCTTTGGCCACCCATTTCATCCATACAGCTATAGGATGAATACCGTGGCAGGCACTTCTGACTGGTTCTCCTTGCACCCCCTGCAGGGCACAACAGGTACTCTTTTCACTGTTGCCAGAGGTGGCTGCCAACAATTTTAAAAAGAAGAATCTGGGCTTGCAGATGAAGACTTTTGCCTCAGTAGCACCCTCATCAGTGGTATTCCATAATCTGTGGGGGGCAGGAAAAGATACCATGCCCCAATCCCAGGGATCAGGGTAATGGTTCCTCCGATCCACCATAGACACTTCTCCGTGGCAGGGGGGAGGAGGGGGGTGGGGGGGGTGGTCTGAGATGGAGCATGGTGATGGCATCTCTCCAAGCGGTACTAGGTGGGTCCACCGATACCTTACTTCTTGGATACGGAACAACATCTCCCTTGTAGCCTTCTCTCCTGGTTGACCAGGCTTTCTCCTGTTGCTTATGGAGATGATGCACTCTCACCAGCTGAACTTTGTGGGTTCCTCCAGATGCGCTGAACTCACATTTCCTGCGTTGTCACAAATCCTCAGTGCAGACGACACTCATCTTACAGGGTCCGTCTCATCGGCCTGAAGTCACATGTGTTGCTTATTCGATGGGCAACCACATTCTTCTGCAAACTTGTGGTCAGGCTGTCGCTCCTTCCTTGCACCAGAGCCCGGCTTGCCTAACACAGATGCAGTCCTTTGTTTTGATATGCAACTTTGCAATGTAGGAGGCTGAGACAAAGGGCAATTTTTAGAGACAGTGTGTGCCCCCACTCCCTGCACCGTAAGCATCGCGTACTTGCTCTTGCCAGCGTGTCTTGTCCAGGCTCCCCACATTGCAGCCTTTTTCCAGCTATTAGGACTCTGCCACATTCATAGCTGGTCTCCTTTCACCAGTGTTGCCAAGGCAGCAACATGCACTTCCCATTTTGGCAAACTTTGTTCATTTATGTATGGGCTTGTTCTGGTATAACAACCCCTCCAGCCACAGGGCTCGGTCTCTCATATCAGCAAATCTTGCTTCTTTTTCTTTGCTTTGACCGCCCCATCTTCACAGTCACTTCACAACACTTTTGCACAGTCCAACAACCAAGAAAATGAAGCACTGTCTCTTTAAGGCAGTTCTCCTCACCTGCACACACATCCGACACAAATTGTGCTGTCCATTGCACAGAAACACAGTTCATATAACTGATGAACTTACTTTGGCAGGGATACTCCAATATAATGCCCCAGGCATCCTCCACCATATGTGGGAACTCACTTCAAGTGGTAGAGCTTCTTCAAAGCACACGGCAAACTCGCTTATTTTTTAAGGGCCTGTTTGCCCCACTTTTATTTAAATGACAGTTCAATATACATAAAAGGTTTCCCACGCAGGGGTTATTCCACCATCAAACAAAAAAAACAATATTCAGCCTCCTGGCTTGTACGCAGTTTTTAAAGTCTGCCTCCTGCAAGACTCTTCCCAAAGGTATTGGCACTAGCACACAGGCTTGTCTGGCTTCCACCTCTCCTAGGTGTAGCCCACCTGACTCCACGGCAGAGAGACCTCCTCCGTCTGCCTGGGTGGCGGCCGCCCTCCTAACTGCCGGGGTGGAGCTCAACTCATGGCCTGGCCTCCAAAAAAGGCCTGCAAACACACCTGTGCAATCAAGATTCACACTGGTCTGCTCCCAAAATGGGCCCTAAGGATTGAAGATTTCCATGGCATCCAGGGATCATGGGTAGATTCACATATCCTCTCCCAAATCTCTAAGAAATCTCCAGGCTACAGGTCCCAAAACCAGGCTTTAAAAAAAAATAAAACTTACCAACCAAAGAGGAAACTGATAAACCCAGTTTCCTCTGCATTAGGAGATCTGCCTGGAGCCCCTCAACCTCTAATGTTTGAGAATCCTGGGTCTCCATCGTGCTTTCCACCGTGGCAGGATACGCACTGCCGCAGCGTTTACCAAGAGGTGGTTAAATAAGGAGAAAGCAAGACACAGGACATATATAATATACTGTATGTGTCAAGTATGAATATCTAGGGTTCCAGACGGGGTTGTTCCTCATTTACTGTTACAGTGCCAGTGGTTTCATCAGACAGGAAAGTGAAGTAAAATCTGTAGCAGGGACACAAACAGAAATTCTTTTTTTTCAGAAGAGGAACCCCTGTCAGCTTATGTCCCCCATGTCCCTTATACAGATTTTCCTTCACTTCCTCTCTTGTTATCATAACATAAAGTAAGAGAAAATCTCTCTCAAGCATAGCTTCAGATAACAGTAATAACTGGACAGAGGTTCTAACCTTTACCTATCAAACTAAAAACGCCTTGTTCCAAGCCAACATATAATACACTATGCAGTCATCATTTTTTTCCTAGCTTTACATTTTTTTTGTATGTTTGCCTTAAGTTGGCTTTTAAATTGAGCAGTTTGAAAATAAATATTCTAACAGCTTGCTTAAAATGTATTTTGTTCTTCTCTTTAGCGTTTTTTGGAAAGTACCTCAATGAATACAATGGAAGTTATATCCCCCCTGGATGGAGAGAATGGCTAGGACTAATTAAGAACTCACGTTTCTATAATTATACTATCTGCAGGAATGGATACAAGGAAAAGCATGGATTTTGATTATGAGAAGGTATGTTTCTCATGTTTTGTTAGTTCTTTTAGTACTATAATGTAGAGGCAGTGATATACAGTAGTCTAAAGCAGGGGTCTCCAAGCTTTTCAGTGCGAGGGCCACATCGTAATTTTACAAATATTCATTGGCAGCAAAAAAAAAAAAAAAACAGTTATAAACTGATTTTATAATGATTGTTATAAACAGTTATAAAATGAATGAATGTTTGTTTTTTTTCAAGCTTTTTTTGTAATCAGCATGATGTGATTCAGATCAACAGAGAAAACATCAGTAAAACAAATCCAAGGAATTCCAAATAAACTGGAGCCATTAATAAAGAACAAACAAAATTATGTTCAGTCTGCACCTTTCTCATCAGAGTCCCCTTTAAATCACGGTTCCCATAAAATTCCCCCTTACGTTACAGTTTACCCTTACATCACAGCCCCCCTTACATTAGAGTCCCCTTTACATCAGGGTCCTATCAGATTCCATCTTATATAAATCACAGTCTATGTAAGAGTCCTTTCCATCAGGGTCCCCATCAGAGTCCCCCTTATGTTGTGATCCCTATCAGAGCAGAGACCGTGCATGTCCGCTGCTGGCAGGATCTTGTATTGTGCTGCATGTGGCCCCTGGACTGTGGTTTGGAGACCCCTTGTCTAGGGAGAGAGGGAAAGTTCAAACCACTGCCCCTATAGAAAGAGTAAGGGTCTACAACAGTAGTAATTACCTTTCTTGATATAGGGGGCCTCTGACAACACCAATGGACCACACATTAAAGTCAGTGAATGGTAGAGAAAGCTCTCAGAGACTGCAGAAATGCAACAGGACATGACCAAAGTCTACTGGCATACCACAAGAAATGGTCAAGGCCCACAGTGTTGTCAGAGTATGCGCTTTAGGAAACTGATTTAGACTGGAGACACATTACAGGAGAATGCTAGAGATCACTGCTATGACATTTCTGTCAACAAGAAAACCTAGAAAGAGAAAAGGGATAAACAGCACAGCAAAATCTAGGATAGTGTGAAAGAAATAAATCAAGCCATTTAAGTAATAGAAATGGCCAGCGTAAGGCTGGCCATACACTAGTAGATTTTTGAATGAACGTCTCTATGAAAATTAATTTAAGTTTGTACAGAAATTCCCCCTTCAATGACTTGCAGAATATCGTACTTCGAAATTTAGTTTTAACACCTTCCCGCCTGGCCTATAGCAGATTGATGGCTGGCTGGGACACTCCTCCTTGTGACTTGGCGCCATATGAAGTCCTGTCAGAAGGAGCAGTTCACACAGCCACGGGACACAGCTGATGACATATCACTACACCGGCTGTCACGATCGAGACTTCAGACCCCAGACCTTCTCACCAAACTCGTCACCGAAGGACTAGCTGATCTAAAACCACGATGTCACGTGCGGAACAATGCCACACCCAGCTGCACCCTGCACAACAGTTTTCCAGCTAATTGTTCCACGCTGCTCCCTACAATTAGAAAATTGAACATGTTTAAAACAAAACATTTTAAATGAAATTCTGCTAGTGTGTGACCAGCTTAAGCACTTGTGGAAGGAAAACAGACTACTGTATGCAGGGGTGCCAAGGTCTGCACAAGATGTGAAATGACCAGTGGTTCGGCACCAGGGCTCTACAGCAGCTGGCAAGCAACAGGCTTTATTTGGCTGTTTTCTACAGATATCAAACTGTAAGAATTTACACACTTTTTGTTTTGATGTGATTTGTATATGTCTAGCTGATTTAAACCAGAACTCCATGTTTCCTGTCATTTTAAATGCTTTGTTTGGTCCAGCAGGGATCAAACAAATTTTTTTGCATGCCAGAATAAACGGTCTGTAATATACTGTAACGGCTTGTGCTATGTACAGTAAATGGCACTTTGTTCTGGCAGCAGTACCAGAGACTTCTCCTCTACTGCTAGATAAAGAGAAAGTCAATGTACCGCATCTCCACCATTCAGGGGAAACCTTGTATTTTTTTAATGAATACACAAGGATTCCTCTGATTGGGCAAAGTGGAGATCATGTCCTCTTCACCTTGGCCCTGCATACATTGGAAAAAATACAAGGCTTCTCCTGAATGGTGGAGGTGCTACAAGACCAACTCTCTTTATATTGGGCAGCACCGTGGCTAAATGGTTAGCACTTCTGCCTGGTAGTACTAGGGTCATTGGTTCAAATCCCAACCACCGTACCACCTGCCTGGAGCTTGCATGTTCTCTCTGTGCCTGCGTGGGTTTCCTCCGGGTACTCTGGTTTCCTCCCACACTCCAAAGACATGCTGGTAGGTGAATTGTATCCTGTCTAAATTGGCCCTAGTATGTGTATGTATGAATGTGAGTTAGGGACCTCGGATTGTACACCTCTTAAGGGTTAGGGACTGATGTGAATGTACAATATATATGTAAAAGCGCTGCGTAAATTGACGGTGCTATATAAGTACCTAAAATAAATAAATATGCGACAACAGAGGGAAAGTGTTTCATAGTGCTACCAGAACACAGCACTGATTATTGTAAGCATCTCACCAATACTACAGTACTGTATATTACAGACTAAGCAGCAGCCAGTCTGATTTGGAATGCAAATAATTTGTTTGGACCAAGCAAATTATTTAAAGTGCCAGCAAACCTGGAATTTTAATTTAAATTAACTATTGTATTGAGACTTGCAAGATTTAAATGCATAAAACATGCACCGATGGTCACGCATTGCTGAGATGTATTGTATTATGTATTTTTTTTTACCCTGGCAGACACGTTAAGAATTGGCACTTATGAATACGCACTGTCTTTTGAATAAGACTGTTACTGTCATCAATGCTCATACCTCTGAATGTGTTAATATGACAAGCTACTGAGCTATTGATAGAAATAAATCTATTGTTTAAAGGACAGAGCTTTGTTTTGCACCTGTCAGGAACATTGCACAATGATAGCATATAAACAACTGCTTATTAGTCAGATTGTTAAGTAGACCTATTATTAACATTAACATGTCACATAGTACAACAGGGTACGTGTTGGCATTGCCAAATTATGTTATTATTTCTAGACCCTTTTTGCTTTGAACTCTTGTTCACAATTTCCTTTGAGCTAAAGTCTAGGAAAAGATCACATGATCTCTAGCTACCAGGAGCACCATGGGTATTTTCAGGTATTCGGAGAATGTAGAATAGGATGTCCTTTAATGTCCTTACAGGATGTCTTCAACTTACAAGCTGACCTCAATGCACTGTTTTAATTGGCCAACTATGTGGCAAATGAGGTTTAATGTTGATAAATGTAAGGCTATGCACTTGGGGGCTAAGAATATGCATGCATCATACATACTGGGGGGGGGAGGGTACAACTGGGGGAATCAATGGTGGAGAAGGATCTGGGAGTTCTGGTAGATCACAAGCTTAATAATGGCATGCAATGCCAAGCTGCAGGTCCTAACATTGGGGAACTGGAGAAAATACAGAGAAGGGCAACCAAGCTGATAAGAGGCATGGAGGAGCTCAGCTATGAGGAAAGATTAGAGGAACTGAATTTATTCTCTCTTGAGAAGAGGAGATTAAGGGGGGATATGATCAACATGTATAAATACATCAGTGATTCATATAGTGAACTCAGTGTAGAGCTATTCACCCTGAGGTCAACACAGAGGACAAGGGGGCACTCTTTACATCTGGAGGAAAAGAAATGTAATCTCCAAGCACAGAAAGGTTTCTTCACAGTGAGAGCTGTGAAAATGTGGAATAGACTCCCTCAAGAGTTGGTTCTGGCCAGCTCAGTGGATTGCTTTAAAAAAGACCTGGATTCTTTCTTAGATACACAAAATATAACTGGATACTAACATTTATAGGTAAAGTTGATCCAGGGAATATCCAATTGCCTCTTTTGGCTGATCAGGAAGGAATTTGTTTCCCCTGCAGGAGCAAATTGGATCATGATTAGCTGGGTTTTTTGGCTTCCTCTTGATCAACTGTGGGTATAGGATTTTTTTTTTAATGGTTGCACTGGATGGACTTTTGTCTTTTTTCAGCAAGACTAACTATGTAACTATTTAACAGTGGTCTTCAACTGATGAACTAAAGGGGTCCTCAAATATGGCCCCTGACATCACCAAAGGGCCACACATAATATTCAAGATATGTAATGCTTGAGAGAATTGTCAGAAACTACAGAACTAATAGAGTTAATGAGGGTCAGAGAGTGTGGGCATACTAAATTTTTGTCTGGGGATGTGCAGCAGAAAACTATATACAAAACTGGAAACATGTTACATGAGCAGGGGCGGACTGACCATTCGAGAACATGGGCACTGCCCGAGGGCCCGGGGTCAGTAGAGGGCCCCATAAAATGCCCCTGGTACCTTTTATAGGCTTTTTTGGCTGTGTTTTGAGTGTGGGCAAGGAAACAGGCGCCCCATGATCCCCAATTGCCCGGGGGTCCCATGAGTTGTCAGTCCGCCCCTGTACATGAGGCTAGTAGAGATCATTGCTGTGTTCCTGCTACAGACTACTGAGGTCCGAGGGCTAAACATCATATACCAAAGGTCCGCAGATTGGATACCAGGGCCGTAGAGAGTCTGTTGTTTTGAATCAGACATCATCAGACTTGCAGTGTGATAACAGCATCAGCATGGTATAGCCATTGTTCACCACTGAAAAAGAAGCAGAACCTTCATATTTATTGGGCATATGTACAGCTGGCTGGCAAATATAAATATATCATTACAGGCTATACATAGAAACAAGGTTTTTGAACTATTAACATACTGTATCTGAATATATACATTAGGTTGATCTATTTCATTTGTATTACTAATAAAAATAAATATAACGTATATTCCCCTTTAACAAAATATCTAAGCTCACTGTACATGACCATTTCATTGTCTCTTTCAATAAATATTAGAGGTCTCTTAGAAATTCCCAGAGGCACCATATAACCACGTAGTACGCTGTTTATCCAGTAAAAGAATATTAAAGGATAAGTTCACCTTTATAC